ATCGTGTAGAATATTTTTCTTGTAAATCTTTTAAAGTTTCATCTTCTTTCCAAGTTAATTGAAAATCTAGAATGACTAGAGAGTACATCTCAGGCAATATTTTCGGATAGTTAACAGTATAGTCATCGTTGCCGGTTTTGTTTGGCCATAGTTTTTGATTAAGTAGGTCATCGAGAGTTGAGCTATCTCTAGCAAAGACCAAAAGTAACTTTTTATATCCAAATCTACCAATTATATTAATTTCTCTGTTGCTTTTTTATTTTTCATTCTGTAATTAATTCTTCTATTTAATTTTCTGTCCGTTTTATTATGAGAAGTTTTGAAATCAACAATGATTGATGGATAATCATTTTGTTGCTTTGTTGATTCTCGATGATTAAAGTCTTTATATTTAATCGATGAATTTTCTACCTGAATAATACGTGTATGATTGTCAATGGAATTTTGACCTTCGGACCTCATTCTTATGTTAGTTGCAGGAGTTTGAGGACCAGGGTTGCCAGATTGTCTGAAAAGTCAGGACAGTGTCTGAAATTTGGATGCCTTTCTGATTTCCTTCTGACAGTCTGATTTTTTTCTGATTTTAGTACTCTCGTCTGATTTTTCCTGTTTTTGATAATTTTCCCTGTTTTTCTCCTGAATTCTGAACGTTTCTAAATCATATCACAGCTTTTTTAGCGAAATTAAATCTTATCATAATTATTCGTGTGAACAATTTTATAAATATCTTTTAACTCAAACACATTTGTTAAAGCAAATTCGAAAAAATGGAAAATATGAACAATATTGTTCAATCATTTCCATTTATGGAAGAATCAACTGTGATTAATCGTAAATCCCAAAATCGTAAACACTCTTATGAATCAAACAATGATAATCGAAGCCTATTTCTCATTGAATATTCTTTTCTTAGTGAACTTGATCTTTTCAATGTCCATGATGACTATATAGAAAAATTTTTCTTTGATACTAAAACATATTTCCAAAATAATGTTCTTCTTCGTATTAAATATAAATCTTTACAACGAGTAACACAATTTCACAAGAGATACTACACGAATTAATTCTGTCAAAATAAATGAATTAGAATTAAATGGTGAACCAATATGTTTCAATTCTTTACAACAATATTTTCCTTATGCAAGAATAAGTTATCCAGTAATATTTTAAATAACAAAAAGATAAAATATTAAGTTAAACTAAAACAGAATAAAATAAGGGAGAATTGTGTTGTGTATTGTTGTAAGAAAATTATATCTATATAGAAATGAAAATGATTATGTGTAATATGTAGGAATCTGTGAAATAAATTAATTTATTAAATAAATATATATAATATATTGGATTGAAAAAATAAGTTCTGCAAATTTTCTTTTTTAAGATGAAATTTACTTTACGACAAGGATATGTAGCATCAATCAATAGTATGATCGCCATGATTTTCGATAATGTTCGTTCATCTTTCGAGCAATCTTTCGATCTCACGTTTCTAGAAACTCGTCGGTGGTGATTGGAAAAACGGTTAGTGGATATGGGTTTTGATGTTTGTAATGGGAAATGGAATACCCACCCACATTCCAATATGATGGACACAAATGATGTAGTATACATCGCTGATCACGAATATGATATTACATTTGATGTTTGAAAAAATGTGCTCCGAGAAATGGATCAGAGAAACAAAATGTAAATGCTCGAAAAATGGCATGTGAGCGTTCTTTTTAAACTTTGTGGCTTCGAAAATAGTACCTGTTAGTACTCGAATCTCCAATATTTTATACGCTTTGTATAGTTCTTGTTTTGATCTATCTAGCTCTATAACGTGTATTTTGTTCCCGTTCATTTTTGGTGCAAAACACTCATCAACATGTAAAAAGGCTATCCTAAAAAAGTCGCAAAAAAAACTGATAAATAGTTAAGTTTCAATGAGTCTCACGTCCCATAATCAGTTGCTTTCGAAACACTGAATATACTCTTTTGTAGAGCGTGTTTCGTTCTATCTTTCGACATATGAATCATACGTAATTGAATGAACAATTTTAGAGATAATCGCAAAATACTCCGCGAGTGGCGAAAAGTCGACTGTTTTTGAGTGCTGATTTGGCTTTCATCAATATTGTCTTCATAACTTCTGAAGGTATTTATGGAAAGAGCTGAAACTTTCATGAGCTTTCGATAGCAATCATAAAAAGTATAGATCAGAATTCTAAAGAGTATGACGATGTTTGATTCTTTGATGGACACTCTCTTGAATCTTCTTCTGAGTCGATAGTCTGATGTACTGGTAATTGCAAAGTTTCATCAATGCAAACATCAAAACAACTTATCAAGGGAGGATATTTTCTATGGATTATTGACCAGATAGATTATATTGAATCAATCCAACAAAATCCTTATAAACATGCTTGTCATATATCTATATTTCAAGACATATATACTACCCTTTGATTACAAGAAAAGCTTTACAATTTTTTTTATCGACCTAGTTTTTCTTAGAAAACTTTCTTCATTGAAATCTCTAATGTTATTTTGTATATTTCTTTTAAGATGATGTTTTTCAAAGAATAAAAAAAAACATAATTTGTTGAACTTTAATCTAACTGTTTAACCTTCAAAATTTAGTTGTTTTTGTGCTGGTTCTTCATGGTCATCGGTGGTTTTTAACATAAAAAATATAATTTTACATTGTTTTTCAAAATCAAGACAAATACTTGATTTAAAGTGGGTGAACTTTTATAATCTAATCCGCTGTATTTATACACGCACACTTTTAAAAAAAAAGAGGGGTAGAGTTTATTGAAGTTCTTTACGTAATTTAAATCCTGGTCCTTTGGGTGGTTCAGTCAACGATGTCAGTTGATCCAATGGTTCAGCTGCATAACGTTTGGATCTTGGACCAGCTTTTGGTTTTCCACCTTTCTTAACTTCATCTAAAATATCATTTATATCTTTTTCTGTTAAATCTTCATAATAATCATCATTAATCGATAACATTGGTGCATTAACACAAGCACCAAGACATTCAGCTTCAGATAATGTAAATAAACCATCAGATGTTGTTTGACCAACATGAATACCTAATTTATGTTCAATTGCTTTTAAAATTCCATCCGAATTGCATAACCAACATGGAGTTGTTGTGCATACTTGTATATGATATTTTCCAATTGGATTTCGATTAAACATTGTATAAAATGTTGCAACCTAAATCAAAATCAAAAAAGAAGCACAACAGTAAAACATATCCTTATTTTCTAAAAAAGAAATATACCTCATATACACGCATGCGAGGCATTTTAATAACTTCAGCTACTTTATTCATTGCTGCAATTGGTAGCCAACCATCATGTTGCCGTTGTGCAAGATCAAGTAAAGGAATAACAGCTGCTGCTTTATGTCCTTCAGGATACATAGCAAGAATAGATTCAACTCGTTTATAATTTTCAGGTGTAAAATCAAATTTAATATCAGGATTATTTTGTGGTGTATCACGATGAACAAATTCTTTATCCGAAGCTAAACGATAAGAACTTGTCGAAATGCAACGGCCAAGAATAGAAGATGAAATGGCAAATGATTGCCGATTAAATAACTTGCGAATAAGCATCTACAATATGTAGAATTTTTGTATGATTAGCACTAGTAAACAAGACGAAACAGAACAAAATGAAATAAAAATGGTTATTTATTATTTGATAGACAAATCTAAGAAAAAACAAAACCAATCAAAAGAAATGATAGATGGTGTTACTTAACAGACAATCAAGATTTTCAGTTTAGTGTCTTGGAAGAAAATTTTAATCAAAGACAAAACAATTAAAGTCTTATCAGATATTTCAAAATAATAGTTGAATACTGTATATCCACGGTTTGACATATTCAAAGTATATACGTAGTTAGGACTTTGATGTATATTCATAAATGGGATAAGTTAGCTAATAAAATGCATTCAGGGTTAGCATCTCGAATGCTAAGCACCAAATTACCATAAAAATGAAAATTTCCGAAATTTTTCTGAAGTTAAGATCAATTGTACTTCTCAAAGACATTCAATGGAAAATAACGTTTCAATTATCAGGTGGGTACTCCGACCATATCTGACAATTAATTAGATCTCGATGTTTTAAAATATTTTTACTTTTTCAAACTAATATTTGGACGTGGCCAGTCGTGTTGATACCCCAAGATACGGGATAGGAAATAATATTATTCTAGAGAAGAGTCTATAATGAATTTTATACCAAATGAAAGCTCATCAAAAATGGGGTTTATTGGTACTAAATAGGAAAGATTTTGTGAACTTTGTAATGTGAAACTTAAGAAATTTTGAGAAATTTGATACACTAAAAAATGTTAAAAAAATCACATTTTCTATATCAAAGAAAAACACTAGATTTTTCCATAAAATTAGCTTTTTTCATTATTCCTACTACCTCACATATTTCGAAATATATTCAATGAATCCAGCGTGGAAAACTGAATCGAATAAGTGTATTTCGAAACATATGAGGTAGTAGAAACACTGAAAAAAGCTAATTTTATGGAAAAATCTAGTATTTTTCTTCCATATAGAAAATGTGATTTTTTTAAATATTTTTTTGTGTATCAAACTTCTTAAGTTTCACATTACAAAGTTCACAAAATCCTTACTATTTAGTATCAATAAACACCATTTTTGATGAGCTTTCATTTGGTATAAAATTCATTATAGACTCCTCTCTGGAATAATATTATTTCCTATCCCGTATCTTGGGGTATCAACACGACTGACCACGCCCATATATGTTTGTTTTTTTTTGGACATAATAATCTATATTGATATGAGTAGTTTTTTTTATCATTTCAAAGATTAAAAAATAACTTAACTTTTGAATCTTGAATAAGATCTATAGATGTTTTTTTTTGTTCTTATTCTGCGTGCTATTCTTTTTCGATGTTTTTTTCTATTGTTTTCCATGAGATAGGTATATATAGTGTGAAGACAATATAATCATTTTTAGATGGTAACCAATGCCATTATAAAGTTTTTTCATGGTTATGATTTTCCTACACGTGGTCAGTTAAATGTTGTTAGAATATTATAAATGAAATATTGTGGTTTCTTTTTTTACGTAGGGAATCGTTATATTTGTCCATGTGGTTATGACTTTTCAACACGTTCAGTAAAAGAATTATTAAAACATATCAAAAAACTTCACAACGAGAATATAAACAATTAGTTGAAGAACGTAAACATTATGTTAACATTTTACATCAAGCTGTTATGGATTTATCGGATGAAGTAAAAATAGCTTTAAAAATTTTTCTTAAAAACTTTTTTTATATAGGAAGATGATAAAGAACATGATGATCCTCAACCAACAACAATTTCGACAAATCCATTTAATATCAATCGACAATTTCGTACAACAACTGATGATGAAAATTATTCACTTTTATCAACATCACGTATGGAAAAAATATTCCATTAAGTCTTCGAGTAGTTGATGTACGTATTACAATCTAAAAGAAATCAACATCTCATTTCTTTTTCGAAAGAAAATTAAAGAACGTTATTTTTTCCCCCTCATATGAGATTGAAAAATAAAAATAAAAGGACAAAATGAAGATATAATTGTTGCTAATCTGTCAGAAGATAATAGTCATTGTTTATATTGATGATTACCTATTCGCTTTTTTTAGCCGTCAATCATGCTCTTCTCTTTTTCTAGAAGAATAACAATGAAAGATAATCGTCAATGTAAACAGTGACTATTACCTTTTGGCAGGTCAGCGACACTCATATATTCATTGATCTTTTGTTTTTATTTTTCTATCTCATATGAGTATATATGGCTTGCTTTTTCTTCATCATTTTTATTGTTGCTAATGTCAACATTGTTTAGCTAAAAAAAAAGAAATGTCTGAGAAAGAAGAAGTACATACATATATTTTGATATTTTTACTATTAATAATATATATATATCTACTTTTTGTAGAACAAACATAATCAATTAATATCTGCAGTTGATCAATTATATTTGGCATTACATCAAGGAAACATCGACTTCGATAAATATGTTGATGAACTCTAGAAACTTAAAGCTGCACAAAAGAAATAAATGAACATAAAATCATTTTTTTATTATTGACTATAATACGATTTTTCTTGTTCATTAACTTAAATTTTTTGGATAATAAGATCAGAGAGTTTATTTATTATCCAGGATTTGTTGTTATTCATCTAAGTTTTTTGTTGCTCCTCATGCAAGTTGTTATTCATAATCCAGATTCTGTTATTCATCATTAAGGTTTTCTTTTTTTGTTGGTCATGTTCCAGGTTTTTTTTAAATTTTATATAGTACCATTAGCATGATCATATAATGGAAAGAGAAAGAGCTCAAATATCATTTTAAAAATGTCTTCATTGAATATTTTATAGTCTTTTATCTCTTGTTCATATTCATATAGATTATGTATATGTTTGTGAATGGAATCAAAATTCAATGGCATCTTTTATCATAATCTTCGAACAAATTATGTTGATAATAATCATTATATACTTTTATTCGGAAATAATCAATTTGTATATTTACTTTCAATTAAATTATTTTTAATTATTACGATGTGAAGCACTGTATAGCAGTCGTTCGTGATTTTTTTTCTTGACTCGTCTTGAAAATCGTCATTTTATGACGCGATGATCTAAAGATCGGAGAGTCGTACAATTTTCATTCAAACGTTTTTATAAAGTTCTATGTTCGTAGATGATTAGACAAGGTGGTCACACTGAGAAGAAGCATATAATCTTCTAAACAGACGTATGACATCGATCAAGCCAGAATGCGACAGTGTACACGAGCGGATCGATATGAAAAGGTCACCCACATTGTCGTTCCATATGATTACATGGGTTCGATGACTGTTGAACGAACGAAATAATACAATTTGATTGCGATCGAGTAACGAAAGATGTTGATTGACACAGATAAGGAATTTATTCGATAGAATTTGATCGAGATCCACATGAATTTGATGACAGTGACCAAGATGTAAATCAATGCCAGAATTGAGCGAGGAGAAAGAAAAATGGTTTTTGTGAAATTTGAGATCATATCATTTTATATTTTTGTTACTGTTTATGAAAAAAACTGAATAATTTACTTTTTACATGTAAAATAAACGTTTGAAAACCACACTCATGAGGTACACGACTTTAGTTCTACATATAATTACATTTTTTTTATTTTATTGAATAATTTATTTTGAAAAAAAATGACAATTTCGACGATAAATTTATATTATTGATTCATACTCGATGCAAAATAAGAAGATTATTGTTTATTAAAAAGAAACTATTTTCTACAATAGAAATTCTAATTTATTTTATCATTATAATAAATTATTTATCCATCTGTTATGCATCCATTTGATGCTGATTGTACACATTGGACATATTTTCGTAAATATCCTTTTTTAGGTATCTTTGCTTTAGCAGGTAATTCCCATTTAGCACGTCGTTCATTTAATTCATCTTCAGTTACGTGTAAATTAAGTGTACCATGACCTCCATTTGTTGTTAATTTTACTGAAATAATATCACCATTTTTAACTAAAGCAATAGGACCACCAACAGCTGCTTCCGGACAAATATGACCAACAATAAATCCATGTGATGCTCCACTAAATCGCCCATCAGTAATTAAAGCACAATCTTTACCAAGACCTGCACCCATAATTGTTCCTGTTGGCTTAAGCATTTCAGGCATACCAGGACCACCACGAGGACCTTCATATCGAACAACAACAACATATTTCATACCTGAGCCTTTACGAATATCACCACAAAGAAAACCTTCAATCATTAATTCTTCACTATCATAGACAAGTGCTTGTCCTTCAAACCAAAGACCTTCTTTACCAGTTATCTTAGCAACAGCACCTTCAGGAGCTAAATTACCACGAAGAATTTGAAGATGACCACTTGATTTTAATGGACGATCAATCGAATGAATAAGATCTTGATTACCTGGACCAGGACCTTGACGTACAGTCGATGGTATTCCTTCGATAAAACCCAAATCACGACATTCAGCCAAATTTTCAGCTAGTGTCTTGCCAGTAACTGTCATAATATCACCATGAATTCGACCTTGTGAAAGTAAATATTTAAGTACAGCAGGTGTTCCTCCAATTGAATGTAAATCTGCCATAAGATATTTGCCAGATGGTCGAAGATCAGCAATATATGGTGTACGACTTGAAATTTCTTGAAAATCTTCTAAAGTTATTGGAACATCAGCTGCATGACCAATAGCAATTAAATGAAGTACAGAATTAGTTGAACCACCAAGAGCATTTGTCTATTGAAACTATTTGACATAAAGAAATAATAAAAAAATAATAATCACTTACCACAGTAATAGCATTTTCAAATGCTTTTCGAGTCATAATATCTTTTGGTTTAATATCTTTTTCAAGTAATACACGTATTGCTTCTACAGCACGTTTACATTCAGCTAATTTAAGTGAATCAGCAGCAGGTGTTGATGAACTATATGGTAATGAAAGACCCATGGCTTCAATAGCTACAGCCATTGTATTAGCAGTATACAAACCACCACAAGCTCCCTATAAACAAATATTCAAATGATAGAATTTCAAAAAACAAAAAATATATACCTCGCCTGGACAAGCATGTCGTACAACATCTTGTCTTTCTTCATCACTGATTTCACCTTTAACATATTGTGCATAAACTTCAAATGTAGATTCAATATCAATAATTCGAGTACATGGACCTAATGTTGTATGACCAGCTCCAATTGTACCACCATAAATCATCAATGCAGGACGATTAAGTCGAGCCATTGCAATGATACATCCAGGCATGTTCTTATCACAACCAGGTACTGCTATAAGACCATCGTACCAATGTGCGCTCATAACACTTTCAATAGAATCAGCAATTAAATCACGTGATGGTAAAGAATATGACATGCCCGCTGTACCCATAGATATAGCATCACTAACACCTATTGTATTAAAACGCATACCGACAAGATTATTTTTATCGATTGATTCACGCATTGATGTTTGTACACAATTAGCTAAACGAGCTAAATGCATATTGCATGGATTTCCATCGTACCACATTGAAACAATACCAACTTGAGCTCGAGCCATATCAGGTTCAGTAAGACCTGTAGCATAGAGCATAGCTTGAGCTGTTCCATATGCTTTGTCTTGAGTTAAATGTGAAGAATATCTATTTGACGGCATTTTAGGTCAAGACAATCAAAAGAAAATGATATATGCTGGTGTCTTCTCACCTTAAAAGGTATACAATGTGATCAGATAACTATTATTTATTCTTATCTCGAAAAGAGAAAAAGAAGAAAAAATGAAAAGGCCAGATTGGGCGATTCATGGTTCGTAATTACAAACACCGAGTACAGAACTATGAGCGAGATTGTTTTTCAAATACTCTACAGTCACATAATAAAGGTTACATCATAAATCAAAGGGTATTTTTTAACTTTCGTATTTCATAGAGATATTAATAGTTTTCACTATTATTGTCGATATTTTACTTTTGAAGTAACAAACCTGTCTGAGTATAACCACAATTAATTTCATTCGTTGCATTCTTTCATACTCACACACAACTTTTTTTATTCGTTTTCGACATCAATAACAAATTACAGAAGTGAAATATTCATCGTCATCATCATACAGAGTTCTGTATGATGATTTTAATATCATTTCAAGCTAATTTTTTATATACATACATTGGTCAATACGAGAACCAAGTATTAGATAAATTGTCTTATTATTAAAAAAAAAGTTTTTCTTTTAAAAACTAATTCTCAACCTTTGTCGTTAATTAACGAGAAAATGAAAATATGCTTAAGTCAATATCGAGCACTGGTGGTTCAGTGGTAGAATGCTCGCCTGCCACGCGGGCGACCCGGGTCCGATTCCCGGCCAGTGCACTCTTCTCTTTTTTTTCGTTTTTCTGATAAAACTATACAAATATTTGATTATTGATAAATTCAAATGTTTTTTTCTGTCTCTCTTGAAATAATAAACCATTTCATATCGTGTTTTTTTATATAATTACAGTTCATTTTATTTTTTTCTGATGGCACTGATATATATATGTGTATAATATATATATGAATATGCATACTTCGAAAGAAAGAAAAAGAATTAAAACATTAGAAGACAAACCAAGAAGAAAGAGAAAAAAAAGAGGAAGCAAAAATAGCATCATCACGATGTAGCAACAGGCTGATGTAGAATGTTTGTTGTCGATGTTGTTAATGGATCTGTATTAATACCAATAGTCTGTTTTGTTGGTGAAACCACCGGTGATGAATGTCTATTCATAAGACTAGCTATGGACGGTAATGGTGAAATTTGTGGATGATACTGTTGTTGTTGTTGCTGCTGTTGTAAATGTGAACTTGTACCTTTTGTAAACATATCT